CAGCCCCGGAGATATTGGAAGACTGCTTTCATGTCTCCCCTAGTCCTTCTTTTCATTAAACTAGACATCCCCAGTTCCTGCAACCGTTCTTCATATGTTTTATCCTCCAGCCCCCTAATCCTCTTCGTTGCTCTTCTCTGCACTCTTTCTGGAGTCTCCATCTCTTTTCTACATCGTGGTGACCAAAACTGGATGCAGTACTCCAAGGGTGGCCTTACTAAGGCTTTATAAAGTGATATTAACACTTCACGGGGATCTTTTAGAGGCAAATTACCTTGTTTTAGAGGGAAAATACCTTGTCTCTAAGAGAATGGCCAATGGCAAAAAATAAAAATAAAAAATCAAGCCAATTTGTCAAAGGCAAAGTGCGAGGCGCTCGGGGTTAAGAATCAGCTCATGCTTCAAAAGCCGCATTCGGAAGGAGATTCTGCAGAGGCAGAGAAAGGGAAATAAGGAGAGTGGAGGGGAAAACCTCTCTGAGAGCGGAGCGAGAAAGAAAGAGGGGAGCTCCACGGTGAAGAGATGCTTACACAATTCAGTTTCTTGCAAAGGGAGGCTTAGTTTGAGAGACTGCAGGGTGTCCTTCCTAAGAGCTAAGCTCTCATCACTACCGCCCTGAGACGCCTGTAGGTGCTGACGGAAACCAAGCACACCTGAAGCGGGTTCGTTTCCCCGGGAGTTTTCGGCGGGGCCTGAAGCCGCAGGCTGTTCGGGGTCGTAAGAGATCGGTCCGTTTGCGCAAGGATCTTGGCTGCTCTTGAGGGCTAAGGTGTCCCCTTCCGTTGACATGCCGCCGTTATTTACGCTAAGCACTGGAGGAGGGGAAAAGAACAACAGGGATTGGGAAGAGGTTAACGACGGATGCCATGTTCTTCTTACCTGTTCATATGCTCAAGCAGCCACGGAGAGAGCAAACACCCAAGAACATCAAATATGCTCTACTCTAAATCGCTTTAAGTATCGCTGCAGAGGAAAGCAAGCTTAACAAATAAAAAAATCCATATCCAAAGAAACAGCTTACAGTTAAGATCCTCTCCTTCCATTGTCCGCTTCGATTTGGCCTCCAGGTCTGGCGGCTGTTCAGAACTGCCCTGGATACCATTGCTGGCTTCCTGAATGCCCACCAAAGACTCCATGGCTGATGGAGGAGTGAAGGTCCAAGGGAAATTATTTCCCCAGTGGGACTTTCCAAGCGACCTTACTGAGTCCAGTTCTTCTCCATCATCAATACCGCTGGGAGCCCCCAAAACAGCCCACACATTGTTAAGGGCTCCTGCACCAATTTATTCGCAGCAAGCAATTTGGGTTCGTTCCAAGCGCCGGCTTCATGGACAACTGTAGAATTTCTGGAGATCATTAGAGTGGCTGCAAGAGAAAGAAAACAATGGTTGGGGTTACATCACACGCTGAGATAAAGAGACACAAACATTCACACGCAGGATGACACTCCTTTTTTAAAAATAGTTCCTTGTGGTTTTTTTTTTCTTTTTCCCAGAGATCACCCACATCTGCCACATATAATTCTGAGCTCACCAAGTGCCAATCCTTATTTAAGTCACACTGGCACAGTCTTAATGATGGGGGTGGGTGGGTGGGAGGTGGGAGCTTGTTTGGGCTCCTTCAGGCTGGATGGTAAAACTAAGGCGCCTCTGGGAGGAAATCCACAAACTAAAGATTTCAGGATATGTACAACATTTTTCTGAGCGAGGCTTCCCCAAAAAGCATGAAGCCGATTCCTGGTCCCGAGAAAACCCCTTTTATTAAACAAATGTGAATTGCTCTCATTCACGTTCAGCAAAGGCCTGGCAAACAGTCTTTCAAAGGAATATTTATGACCACAGACCTTATCTATCTTAGAAAGCTGCCATGTACATATTTTCCAAATGAGTTGCTGTGCAGGGAAAGACTGGGCACAGAGTCTGTGAGATTCACGGACAGATTTTCACACTCCTGAAACGAATCTAATGAACAAATTGTTTCCTGTAAAAGCCCCCTTCCCCTTTCACTCCTCTTTTATTTCCTATGGGAGGGGCCATTCACCTTCCACCTGTGACTTTACTCTCAAGTTGACCCTGTTTCTCAGCTGTTCTTTTCTTCCAGCAGCTCTGCGCATGCACACACCGGGAACAGGCTCCAGCCGTTCCTCTGCCTCACTGCTGTCTAACTCGGTAGGCACCTGATCGCTGCCAGACGGCCTTGGCCCCGTCTCTGCCTTCAATTCAGAGCCTTCGTCCGAGCCTTCCCCAGCCTCTGGGACTGGCCCATGCTCCTCCCCAACCTCCTCACTGTCCAACTCTGCTGGCTGCTGGCGGGTCACAACACACATGGAATTCATCCAAACTATCTTGAGGCGGCTGCCTGTGGGTGATACAGGCTGGATTTGTGTCATTTTGATTCCTCCTGTGGGGAGTGGAAACAAAACTATTTTCATTTCCAGTTGCTTTTTATTTCCATCATGGCAACTGCCAGCCAGACTATTTTATCCCACCAAGCAGAGGGAGGTTTGATTTATACGACGACAAGGTATGTGTTTATTAGGAGGCTGAGGATTTGGCAGAGATTAAAATACCTCTTATTGCAGATGAGTGTCTTACTAACCAGGGGGAGGGAGAGAGAGGCCTATGGCTTGTTAAAGTTGCTTCGGTAAAGATCCCAGGGAGTCCTTGAGCTGCATTTAGTGAACATGCGAAGTTGCGACGGCACTGAAAAAAGTGAGTTAAGACCATTTTTTGCACTTACAATCAACTGCAGAGGAGTGTAAGTGCAGCCCATCGAGACACACAAAATCTGGTCATGTGACCTGTGTGGTGTCTGTCTGTCTGTGTCTGTCTGTGTCTGTCTGTCTGAACTTCAAATCCAGGTCCTTAGTAGCCCCCAAGTAGGTCCCTTGGAACTTCAAATGGCAGCTCAGCGACAAGTTAAGGACCATCTGCCTCAACAATTAAGGAACGACCACCTATAGGTAGTCCCTGACTTACAACTGCTCATTTAGCGACCGTTCAAAGTTACAATGGCACTGGGAAAAGCAACTTTATGACTGTTTTTCACACTTACGGCGGTTGCTGTTCATGTGATCCAAAATTCGGACGCCGAGCAAACTGACTCATATTTATGATGGTTGCAGTGTCCCGGGGAGGGGGAGGGGGGGCTCACACGATCCCTTTTGCAACCTTCTGACGTGCCAGGTCAGCGGAGAAGGCTCTTAACTACCGGGTTACTCACTTAACAACTGCAGTGATTCCCTTAACAAAGGCATCAAGAAAGATTGTAAAATGGGGGCACGCCTCACTTAACGAATGCCTTGCTTAGCGACAGAAATTTGGGGCTCAGCTGAGGGCTTAATCAAGGACTACCCGTATAGAAGAAATTAGTTTAGTTTATTGTCATTGCACCTCGTACAACTAAATTAAATGCAGTCTTCAGTGTACATTATAACTATGAAAATGAAAACACAAAACACACAAACTTCACATGCTACACAACTGAATTGAAAACCCCTGACGTTGCATTAATATTGCACTATACACTAGAATTCAATATAGTTACTGCTCTGGGATAGAAGCTGTTTTTCACCCTATTTGTCCTCCTTTTTATGGGGCACGTAAGACTTTTGAAGATCTCAAGAAGTTCCATGTTTAGTTGCAACCTAAGATACCCCTTAGAAATGTGTTAGCAAGACTTTAAAAGTCCTCTCCTTCATGGCATTTAGAAAACAGTGTTAGATCCTCAAGATTTCCACCCTTGAGGTCCACCTTGGAAGGGTAGACTTCTCTTGGCAGGCAGGCTTTAGCCTACCACAACTTGATGGGATGGAGGAAGTGAAGGGACGGTGTATCCAAGCCATGTTCCTTGGGAGAGGAGCAGGGTTAAAGTTGTTAGCACACCTCCCCTTTTGGGATCAGATAGCCAGCCTCTGTTCACAATGGCCGAGACAAATTCAAGTAGGCAGCCATGAATGCTTCACAACAGTGACACTTAATCTCTATGAGTGGCTTACACTAGGTGTGTTAAATCCACCCATCCATTAAAACAACCACCAGTTTCAGAGTCCTTTAACCACTCATCACACCCATGCAGGGCTATATAGCCCATAAACAAACTTCATCGATGTACACATATCAAACCTTACATTTACCTAGTCTGTATAGTCTATAAAGCAACTTCATACATGTACACACCTATGCACACACCAGGGGTGGGTTCCTGCCAGTTCTAACCTCTTCTGTAGAAGAGGTTCCAAAAATCTACAGTGCTGTTTAGAACCGGTTTCAGCTCCCTCCCCACCACCCGTCGGCACACCATCAAGATGAAGAGCGAGAGGAGGAATTCTGGGAGTTGAAGTCCACAAGTCTTAAAGCTGTCAAGTTTGAATACCACTGTTTTTTTTTCCTAAAAGGTTAGGGAGGCAAGGGTCTTGTCACTTGACAGCTTTAAGACTTGCACACTTCAATGCCAGAGCTCCTGAGCCAACATGACTGGTGGAGGAATTCTGGGAGTTCAAGTCCACAAGTCTTAAAGCTGTCAAGTTTGAATACCACTGTTTTTTT